CGGGAATAGGGAAATTTTTTCTGAATGAATTCAGAAGTATAAAAATTAAGAGGATGGATAAATCGTCGGAATATCATCGAAAATTTATTCTCGGCTCCGTTTCTCGTTTCAGACAAGAATTCCCTTACGTTCCCATAGATTTTCTGATACTGAGGACTTTGAAAAAAAAATGTTTTTAGGTGAAAAAAAGGTGAAAAAATTTTTCCTCGCAAGCTGTAAGCTAGTGCTTGGAACTTTTTTCCGGCATTAAGTTTCGATGAAAAAAGAACGCCGGGTAGTACATACTTGTCAGGAATCCTCGAAACGTCTCCCGGAAAGTTGAAAATATCGCTAATCGTCGGAATTTTTTCAGACTTTTTTTTCAGACGGAATCGGAATCACGCGAGGCGCGGATTGCATTCCTAGTAAAAGTGAGTCAGCCTGGCGTGAGGCTATGTTTCATAAACTACCCTGAGCCTGACTGATTCAGGCTGACATCAGTCTGACTCAGGGTGGTTTATGAAGCATAGCCTCACGTCAGGCTGATTCACTTTAACCAGGGATGATCGAGCAAAATTTGCACCCCTGCACAAGCCACTAGTTGTGAAATTGTTGCCACCTATAACAATTGAGCAGATTAAACGGAACCCAGTCAGCTCAGATAATTTAAGTGGGTGGCTTTTCGATGTTGCTTCCTAAGTTACTGCTCAAATGAGCAGAGCGGTTCTGATTTCCTGAGTGATTCAGTACATTAAGCACTGTAGAGCAATGACTCTCTAAATCAGACTGAAAGATAATTGGCAGAGTAAGTAAGGAATTTGGGGTGTACTACTTCTACTTAAAAAGAGTTGCTCGTGTACTTAAATGTGGATTGGTGAGGATTGATTGCCCATTCATTCCGCAGTTGCATGAAATAATTAGGGGTGAAGTTCGGTACTCGGGCTGCATGGAAAGTCCATGAACGGTACTCCATAGGAGTTCGGTACTCGGACTGCATGGAAAGGCTATGAAACCTTGTAGGAGTTGGTGTCGTTTTCGTTTGTATGTTTTTGGGGCGGTTAATTTGAAAAATTCATCATTTCAGGTACCTTTTAGGAGTTGGTTTCGTTTTCATTTGTATGTTTTTGGGGCGGTTAATTTGAGAAATGTTCATAATTTCGTACAGGTTGAGGAGTTTATGATTTGGGGATGTAAAACAATTATTTGCACCATGATTCAATTTTAATATAACAAATTTATAAAATTAAACGTATTCCAAATAACAAAAAATGACACTTCTTTCTTGTCAGAAAACAGTGGAAAAAAATCTTATGTTTAAGGTAACTTATGAATTTACTTGAGACATAATTTCAATTACAAAATAAGTAGATGTCTATCACATGTTGTCTTAAGTGGGATTGTTGTGTGTCACTTCAGATATCGTTTTGCACAGAGACAGAAATGGATCTCTTCGGAACTTTTTTTGTTCCCGGTGCCACAGGAATTCGCACAAGTGGTTAG